CTGTGTTGTGTGTGATGTGGTGTGCAGATGTGTGTCGTGTGTGTGTTGTGCTGTGCGTGGGCTCACACCTGCTGTGCCCCCGCTCCGCCGCATCCTGTGGGCACGGTTTTTTGAGCTTCCATTCAAAGTATGTTCTGGTGTAGTGGTGTGTCCAATGTGTGAGACGAACCACGGCACACACGACATGTCGATGTGTGCTGCTGATGTGCTATGTGTGATGTGTGTGGCGCAGCCGGGATAAGCAGTGCCTCCGAAATCGCGCAATCTCGGCGCGCTGTGCTGTGATCCCTGTGGCCGCGATCGCGGTGGCTGGATTGCGATACGAAATAGGCTCAATGCCGTACCGACCGCATGGAGTGGGAGCGTGTTAATGTGATGTGTCGTGTATAAGCACGCACGCACGCACGCACGCACGCACACACATACACACGCCCCCACACACACGCACCCACACTCGCTATAAAAATCTGTTAGATTTCACACCAACGGTTAAACTTTGGTTTTATATTAACCACATTTCACATAATATTGATTTCATCCTTTAGACAATCGTTCGACATCATTTAGACAAGGTTGGCTGTGAAAGTGGCTGTGATCGTTCAGCGCCTACCTTTCTGCTGCTGTATCTCTTCCTCGTATTTCTTCCTCTCCTCCTCCGTCATCTGTTCTGCTGGATGCTCCACATAGTCCTGCTTGTACACCTGCAACAGCAAACATTCGTCATGAACCCGTGAAAACTCCTCCTCACTCACTAACGCACCGAAATTCCTCAACCGACTCTCTCTCATTCAGCTTTAAACATGCCTCCATCTTATTTCGAATGAAAAATACAAAGCCCCCCCCCCCATCGTGAATTTACGCATTAATTGACCATGATCGAAACTTTTCAGAGTGAGAACAAGGTAAGCATTTAGTAATTGTTATAACGCTGGATCTCGGACGACGTTAGTAAAGTTAATGAAGATGTAGTTGTTACGAATCAGTCACAGGCAGCCGACCTTCCCCAACGTTACCACGGCAACCACGCGGCAGACACAAGTGTGACAACGACGTCGAAGGCACGCTAGTATACAATGTTAGTACTACTCGAACCTCTTCCCTCGCAGCGTGAGCACGGCTCGCCGTCTCTCTAGCAGTGCGTACAGTGGAAGAAGAGGAAGAAGAGACAGTAGTGTGTTCTTCACATACGGCCTAGAAGACACAGTGTGCGAGAAGAATGAAAGAGGGGCGCGCACGCGCGATGCTGTCTCGTCACGAGGCGACTCGAGACGTCTGGAACGCGGCGGCGTCGGCGGCGGCGGAGCGCGCAAACTCCCGACGACGGTTTAGAGTCGCTGTTAGTCGCGGACGACGTCTTCATGACAACGCATCATCCGGGGAGAGTCCACGTCCGACTCTCGGGAGAATCCCGCGATCTATGACTGACCGCATTGTCTGGGATGCCTCTCGCGCCCCGTAGTTACCGCAGGGGTGACACTCCACACAGAGATCGACCCCCCGGGTAGGTTAGTACTCTAGTGTAGTATAGTAGTTACCGCGGGGGTGACACTCCACACCGATCCCCGGGTAGGTTAGTACTCTAGTGTAGTATAGTAGTTACCGCGGGGGTGACACTCCACACCGAGATCGACCCCCCGTGTAGGTTAGTACTCTAGTGTAGTATAGTAGTTACCGCAGGGGTGACACTCCACACCGATCCCCGTGTAGGTTAGTACTCTAGTGTAGTATAGTAGTTACCGCAGGGGTGACACTCCACACCGATCCCCGGGTAGGTTAGTACTCTAGTGTAGTATAGTAGTTACCGCAGGGGTGACACTCCACAC